AATCATAAATGATAAAATACAAAGCTCCTTTTAAATAACTATAAAAAATTGCATCGTGTTTGAATGAAAAAAAAGCCTTAAGTCCTTTTATTTAGTTGGTATAAGAAAGCATTTAAAAATCTCAAAAATAAAATTTTATGCAAGCAATGATAAGACTCACTCAACACCCTCTTGAATCTTGCCGGGATTACAATCCTTGAAATCAACCAATTGAGCAAACAAGTAGGCCTCCGCAAGTGAAAAGAGAGTATCAATTAGAGCATAATCCGGTTCATCAAAGGAATCACGTATTAAAGTATTTCCATAGGTTCCAACTTTATCCTCTTTTGACAACTCTCTAAATCCGTGATAGGCTACTTTCACATACTTGTGGCGATCCATCTGAATACATTCATCCATCAATCAAAAAGAAAGAAGTCAAGGCAATCTGTTAATATACTATTTCAACGGGGGAATTGGTGACGAGAAAACATTTATCTAGTCTATACCTTCAATATGTTTCCTCTTTTTTTGTCAAGAACCAAGCCTCTGACCATGTACTTCCAGTTAAAACACCAATTTAGTAACTGCAAAATATAAAAAATATTTTTAGCCAAATATAACAGAATGTAAGTGTCATCATACCAGCAAAGATTGTGAAAACAATAAAACTCTTGAACAAAATTAAGTTGGACGAAGTTAGTAAACTACATAAAAATACACCTATCACACCAACCCTTACGTCATGATTTTTTTTCTTATCAGCAAAGACTCTTACATCATGATTGGTGCATGAAAAAAAACAAACAGATTACCTCACGAGGGTATCCCAAATCATAAACCAGCTTTTTAATTGTGCCTTGATAAGCAAGAGATTCAAAAGTTTCAGGCTTGTACTGTGCCAGAGTATAATCCATGTCAAATCCCACAGCAACGATGTTCTTCATATTCAGTGATCGATTACAGAATATCTGCTTGCTTATTTCAGTTTTAAATCCATGTTCGGGAGATGACCATACACGTGGCTGTTTTCTGCCATCACTGCCAGGCGAACCCACCAATCCTGAATCATGTACACCAATTTCATGGTTGCCGTCCATTGAATATTGAGCATGCAACGGATTAACTCCTGATAGATTTAATCCAGCACAGAGAATAATAGAATGAAAATGATCAGGAAACACTTTTCGTAAACTTAAAATCCTAAGCAATTAATAATGAAACTATAGCGTTGCCTATTTTCAGAAGAATTAGCTCGGTAGAATGAGTTCCAATATTTTCTAAATACATTTTGTTTAAAAACTAATTGAACGAAGCGTGGAAAAGAATTATAATCCCTTCCCTGAAAAATAACTCAAACATCTTACCTTGAATGTGATTTCTGAAAGAATTATAGCGTAGGTACAATGCACGAGGCTATGTTCCAACTCTAGGAATTCCCCAAGCTAGGCTCCGAGAAACACCTATAAATTTAACTTCCGAATTAAGAAGAGTAATCCTCTAAGATGCTAGTAGTATCGAATATTCCCCTCCAATCCATATTTCACACCTAATGCTGTAGTTACTACCTCTATGATTCACAACAAAAGATCTGCTTAACCATGTATGCAAGTCAACAGCACAGCAGAATTGAAAAGGAGAATAAAACCATAGTTTCATGTCGTTAATGAAGTTTTACAATAAATGTCAACAAATTGCATGTCCATTTCAATGAATCAGGGGACAATTCGCAACGAGTTCTATCTAAGTTTTAGTTGGATTAAAAAAGCTTAGAGCACAAGAAATCCTATTGAGGAGAAAGAAAAACAAAACAGAGGATAAGAGAAGGGAGAAAGGAAGGAAGCAACGAACCTGGTGACGTGGCGTTGGCGACGGAGTGAGGGCGTTTGGCGCAGATTCCAGAAAAGAAGCGAAGGCGAGGAGACAAAAGAGGTGCGAGTCGAGGAGAGAGATTGGAGAGAGAAAAGGTGAGGCGCCCCTCGGGAATTCGCATCGTGCAGGGATTAAATAGGCTTGGACATGGTGGAGAGAGCGAATGGGAGGGAATCAGATGCCGCGGGCACTGAAGAGTTAGCGTTTGAGGCGCAAACGCGAATGCAACAACAAGTTCGAAATTGGAATGGAAATGCAGTTCCACCAGCATTTACCGCTTTTGCCAAATTAGCATGCCTCCGAAACCTATTATTCCCACCCTGAAATTTGGATTAGAAAACAGTAATAATCAATTGGCCTTGGTGAAGGAACCGATTCCCACCTATTTTATTACAATCTATCTATCTATCTTTGAGGAATAATGAGGAATAATAGCAACAGAAGCCATAAACTAAAGGAAATTTGGGTGGGGAAATGCGAGATGTGTAATGGTACGTTGGTGGAAGTAAAATAAACGAGGGAGAGAGAGAATTGAGACGATGGATGGTGGCATGCCACGTGGAAGAAAAGGGAGGGAGCGTGCTGGTGCTGGGAGTTTTTTGGTTTTGTAAATTTCTGCTGATTTCTGGCTCTGGCGTGGATAAGTAGCGCCCGGCCACAATTTTTTTTGGGTTGGTTTTCATTTCCCATACTCAATAGTTAGTCAATACGCAGAAAGGATCAGAATCAGATGATGATGATGATGGTGCCATCCTTTTTTTTCTCAACCTTTCTTTCTTTTTCTCACATTTCCACCTTCCATCCGTTAACTTAACACCACAAACTTTATCCCCACGTGAATGTCACGGAATCTATCTATTTCATTACTGCCTACATGCTAACCAGTGATTCAAAATTCCTTATTGCTTTTCATGTATTCTCCAGTAATCACTGATCAAAAAATTAATTCTTTAACTAACTAAAGCTGCTAATTAGTATTCTTTATTGGTTGGATATATTTTAAGCCAGGATTATTAGATTACTTTTAATTATTTTATTTGATAGGTTTTTATATTTATTTTTGAAGATGAAACTGTTGTTTGAAAAATAAATTATATTTCAACGGTTTAAACTTATAAAAATGTTGTATGAAAATAAATTACAATAAATTGTAACTTTTGTTTATAAAAGTATAATATTTATTTTAGATACGGGTTCAAGTCTATTATTCAAAGCACTTCAAGTTATTTTATCATATGGACTCGCTAATGAGATCCAAATTATATTGCTGGCTCTTTCTTCTTCTTGTCGAAACGAAACTGTGTTACTGATTACCTCTCAAAGACACTCAAGTCAATGATATAACTATTAACACAACAAATGATGCATATAATGTATATCATTTCTCTTAAGTTATACTTTAGACATTTATTTATAATAATTGTGATGATCTTACCTTTTGTTGTTTTAATGAGAACTCAATTACATCTTAATTTCTATTAGAGTTTAATGAATTATTATCACAGATAATTTGATTATACTTTTAGGTCACAGTGAATACGACCTAGAGTTGAATGGTCAGCGTAGGTGATCATCCTGAAAAGTATTCGGTTAAAAAAATCTATATAACATAAAATTTATAATAAATTATATGGATGGTTGATTTGTCCTTCGGTTAAGTAAAAGAATAATGAAAATTTTAACTCTTTTTAATCGGTTTAAATTTGTCATGCATTATTCAGGGTTTTATCATGTCCGTGACATGATACAATTAGTTAGTTTATATAACCGGTAATAAAAAAATACATTATATTTTAATCACTGAGTCACATAATTTTCTTTTGTTTTATTTGTCTTTTTATTTCTTCGATTCATTTTAACTCTTATTAATCCGTTTAAGTTTATCTTACATCATTCACGGGTCATTTATGTCACTAACATAATAGAACGGGTTAGTTTATGTAAACCGTAATAAAAAAAATCTATTATATCCCAATCAATAAGTCACACAATTTTCTTTTATTTTAGTTGTTTTGTTATTTCTTCGCCTCATTATTCCCAAATGTAATCATTTATTGGTTAAAAGTGTAATAGATGGTATGATATTTTTAGAATAATAAAATCTTTAAAATTAATCATATCTTTATTATATCATTTTTATTTAAATTTTGTCATTGTCGATCTTCAAATTAATAAAATAGAAATGGGAAAGATTATAACTATATGAAAAATGAAAATTTTTTCAAGCATCAAAGAAATGGATGAAAAATAATTCTTTTAAAGTTAATGAAATTGATAATTAATTACTATAATTTTTTTATGCTTACGAACGATTTAATTTTAATATACTTATTTAATTTATTTGATATAATTGTTAATTTTTTTATTTTATTATCAATGATAGACTTAATAAATGGAATACATATGTAAAACATCATAATAAAATTATTATTACAATATTTATATGTATTTTTATTTTCATTTGTTTATACTAGTTAGTTCGTATACTAGGCAACAAAACTTTGTAGTCATTCTTTTACATCTTAATTCATTTGTGTGGACCAGAGTTATCGACATTCCTATAAATTATTAAATAAAAAGTTTAAATTAATTTATTTTTCTTAATTTAATATTTTTTATTATTTTAATCATTTTAGTTAAATTTTTTATTATTAAACTAGTAAAAACACGTGTTGATGTTTTATTTATGATAAAAAATAATAAAATTATAATTATAATAGTAAATATAAATATTTTTTTTATATTTATTATATGTAAATTATATTTATTTTGTAGGTAATAGTTTATTATAGATAGTTATTTTAGTTTGAAAATAATTAAATTTAAAACTGATTATTTAATAAAAATAAATTTTAAAAAATGTATAATTGACTATTTTTATTTATATAATGGTATAGAAGTATAAATTACCTCTAAAAAAAGTCTTTTGGCAAATATCAAATATTTAAATATAACAAATTATCTTAAAAAAAATTAAATCAAACAGAGAAAAGAGAGTAAAATATACTAAATTAAAAAAAATCATTAAAATGGGTTAGAATATGACAAGTAACACTTTCCCTAGATATATATGTTTATTATATCGCAAAGAAAAAAAAAATATTAATTTCCCCTTATAGGTTGGTATGAAAATTGTGCAGAGTAAGAAAGAAGAAACAATTCGACCTGGAAACAAGTGAGCAAAAACAATGCCATTGCCAACTGTCGTTTCCCCTATTTCTTCTTTTTCTGGCGTACTTTTATCCACTGTCACGGCGCGCGCTACACTCCCTCCAAAATGCACCGTTTCCCCTTCCTCTGTTCTCTCTCGCAGAGACATCGCTCTGCTGTCCTTCCTCGCTCTCTCTCCACCTGCCTCCGCCATTGAATTTGGCATCTGTAGGCACCACTCTTCTTCTACTTACTTCCCCAGCTACATTCGCTGTTTCTCGTCGCATTCGCGAAAACCCTAATTCTTGAAATTGTTGTGCAGCAGGACCGAAGAATTGGCTGAAAGAGCAAAAACGGAAGGCCTCCAAGTTCCTGTTGGCCCCCGTGGATGCTTCCCGCCAAATCCTTCGCTCTGCCTATCTCACGCTCAGTACGTTTTTTTCCCTCTTCTCGCTTGCAATGCTTCTTAGCTTGACCAGGTTTCGATTTGGTTCCATTTGCAGCGAAAACCGACGCTGCTTATACGGATGAGGATTTGGAGCAGATTCAGCAGCTGTTTATATCTGCTGCTAGGGACTGCGTACCACAGGACCGGAATTCTTTCGTCACTTTCCAAGCCAAGAGCGGAGTAGAGGTTTGTGTTCGCCTTCTAATGGCTTGCATAATTCAAATGCCTCGCATGTTTCACTGATTATTAGGGTTTTGATGGCATAATAGAAAAATAGTAATCAACGATGGTAATTGAGTGTCAATTATCAAAATGTTTTCAAATTCAAATTACCGATCACTCGATTTTTGTAAATAAAATAATTTACTGGAAAAATGTGATTTTGTTTTTTTTTTCTTTTTTTGTAAAACGTGGTTTTAATCCTTAACTTTTAAATTGAGAAATTATATCTCATAGTTTTCACTTATTTTAAGATGTTGGTGGTGGACCGATCTATCAATTTGAAAGCATAGAGAACAAAGTAATGCTTGAGATTGAAAAAACACAGAGACTAAAACCACATATTCCCCATATTATATTTATCCAATCACGAATGGCTAATATGAAGTTTGGTATTCCCTTCTCATTTAAAAAGTTTCATAGGCATGCATTATTATCCACCAGTAAAATATCCTATTTAATATTATTTTTAGAGCAATTATCTAAAAGTAAATGCTTATCATGCATGTTAATCAGTTATAATTTAAAAAAATTTATGCTATCAGTAAATATACTGTTTTTTTTTTCTATTTTAAAATCATATCTAGAATATTATTTCATTGATTGCCGGTGTTAATATATTTATATTGTAAAATCAAATTATCAGTGATAGGTTTCTTGTGCAATACAGGACATTTCTTTTAGCATTATTTTATACTGTTGAAAGGGGACTTTAATATTGTTTGGTGAAGGATAGAAATGGATAGGATGAAAATAGTTGGTGGAGTAGAAAGAGATGACAACTAACGTATAAATTAAAGGCGTTTGGTTGAAGAAAAATAGAGAGTAGATAAGGAGAGGGTTGAAGAGAAATAGAGAGTAGATAAGGAAAGAGATGAACAGCAATAGGTTAAAATTATTTCTTCTTTCTTCTCCCACCAAAGCCTCACTATTATTTCCATCCCTGTTCTTCTCCTCTGGGAATTTTATTTTGTTTGTGGTCCCTATCCCCAAACAAGCATGCTAGCTCAAGTACAAGAATCATTTGGACTGAGACATAATTAGCCTACACTGTCCCTTTTTTTGCGCAGGTGTGCACATTTCGGTTAATTGTGAAGAACGCTGCTTCGTTGCTTGGAAATAAGGATCCTGTAAAGTTGAAAGCTGAAGCTTTGCTAGATAATCTTATAAGGTATCCAATTTCCAGCATTGGTGTGTTGTAGTTTACTGCACCAACTTGTGGCTCGTAAAATTCTCTTATAATATTTATTAATTATTTAATTTCTAGGGGATTATTTACTGGGCATTCTAGCATTCTAGCTTTATCGTGCTTGTAAAAGAGACTGTTTTTGTGTAAATGGTCATAGATTCATACTTTCAGTTATGAATATTATTAAGAGGCTTTGTTGTGTCATGATAACTGATAGAAATGTAACAGACATTCACGAACCTTCACCTATTAGCTCAAGGTTTTAGGAGAATAAGTTTTGTATGATATCAGAACCTTTGAGTCCCAAGTGTCTCAATGGTCCTTGTCTCTCCAATTTGTTATGTCTTCTTCCAGAAGCATTGTTTTACACACTTCTTTTGTCCTCCATGTTAATATTCCTTTGAGATCAAAATCCATGATGTTTACCTAATTTGATTACATCTAAAGGGGAATATTTTTTACCACATTGCTTCTTAAAAATGCAGATCTTTCGCCACTATCAGTGGGATGGCAAGTGAAACCAACATTCAACTTGCATCAGATAGGTATATTTGCTGTAGTAGTTGCTTGCAGGAATATCTTTTAGGGAGATTTTTTATTTCAAGAAATTCTCTATGCTATTTGTGAAGAATTGAACCTAGTTCATTGCAAGCCCACCCCCAGAATCTTAGTATTGATTACTAATGAATAATCTTCACTTTACTTTTTGTTACAATTTATTTCATGTTATGCCTAATTTATATTTTTTTATTGGCTTTGTGTACAAAAAATGAGAACTAGGAATTGTTTGAGAAGTGCTTGGTTTCTGAAAAGCAGTAGTTAAGCTGCTGTAATGTTCCGAACCATAGGTTTGATTTATTTGTGGATCTTTCTTAAGATTTATTCTTCTGTTTTGAACAACTCAGATAATATATTATTGCAATTGATTGAAAGGGGCTTCATCCAAAGTTTTCACTGGACTTTTATTGCCTCTCTTTAACTGTTTGTTTATTAATGTTTGGAAGGATCTATCTATTTGTTTGTATAAAATTATAAAATCTCTTTAACTGGTTCTTTATTAATGCTTGCAAGGATCTATCTATTTTGGATTAAATTATAATAGTGTTGCTATATATATATATATATATATATATATATATATATATATATATTTTCTTCATGATTTGCTGTCAGTTTTGGTTTCTTTTTTTTTTCTAGCCTCTTCAAGTATTAAAGAGACGGAGGTTTATCTTTCAAAGTTATTGTTGCTTGTTTTAATTTTATTATTCGGGTGCTTATCACCTGATTATTGTATCAATGGATTGTGCCTAAAATCCTTCTTTTTCCCCCAGAGAAAAGATAGCGGATGCTGTATCAGATACCATATCTGATCTCGACAAATTTGAGCAGGGAATTACGGATTGCCTTGAAAGTTGAAACCTAACTGTAAAGAATAGCCTATCCTACTTTTTTTGATGTGGAAAGTTGATCCTTAAAAAATCACGCAAGTATGTGCTTCTGTCTTTTTCTAAGTGCTTACTTTCCTTTGATTTTTTTTTAAAATTTTTTTAGTTACTATCTACCATAACGAAAAAGGTTGGCCGTATCTATAGTTTTAAGCTTCTTTAACAGATTGCACTTTCAAAACGAAAAATGGTAGTGTATAATTTCATCAACAAATAGACCTGAATCTTGTTTTGACTCTAAACTGTTTCACCACCGTACTGTCTGAACTAGGCTTTGGGTTTATGCCTTTGCTAAAACGTTCACTTGTTTTTCAGGGAGCTTATTGGTGTAATAACCAATTTTCTGGTATCACCGGTTTGCTGACTACCGAGAATACCAAAATATGATTTTGCCGTACTTTAAAATACTTATTTGTTTTCTCAATCTGAAATCTGTAAGCACTCTGTCAATAATCATATGATATTCTTTTTCAATGCATTCAATCCTCTGAATCGTTTTATAGAGGAAATACGCATGCTCTTAATAGCTTTATCGTTTTGATATTACGGGATGTGTTCATAATTTGACATACTGAATATGCATTTGCTAGGATGTTCTGAAATTATTTCTTAAAATCAGCCAAAAAAATATGAGCGATTTACATCTTAAACTATGGCTGTTTCCCTTTTTGTTTGGAACTGTGAAGGGAATGTCCTGCTCTAAACAAAGGATCAAATAAATTCATACGATACGGGAACGGTTATCACTCCAATTAGGATTCTAAATGTTACAATATTTTAAATGATATATTGTGATTTTAGCTGGAAGTATTGTTTGCTGATCGATGCTATCTTTCTGTAATGGTACGTTATTTAGAGAAAATGTGCTATATTCTCTGTTGAGTCATTTCTTTTTCTTTTTGATGTTTTCTGTCCAGTTGTCATCAGTTTATAGATACTCTCCTCCAATCCAAGATACAAAATACAAGATGCGTATCTGCCTTCTTGAAAGAGACTGCTATTTTAATGAGGGAGAGGTTGTGGTTGCTGAAGATTTTTGTGTACCTTCAAACTGAATGGAGAAAAGTAATAAATGCTTTTTTCTAAATGGGACAACCCGCCTCCCCCATATCTTGGAAACTGCCAAATCAAGACAATAGTAGACATCTACTTCACATAACTCATTTGGTGATAATTTCTTTCAGAGTTTACTTTTATTTATTTATAATCAGGTAATATCACAACATATGTAGTAGGCATTTTTTTTTTATGATACTAAAAAACAGTTAGAAATGTGATGAATAAAATATAACAATTGAATTTTAGAATTAAAATGATTGTCAGTTTTTTATTTTAAAAAAAAAAATTGCTCTGAACATTATTTATTTGTTGTTTCAATTTTGTTGAGTGAAAAATCGGATTTTGATTTGGGGCTGGAGTAATTGACTGGGTGTATTTGCTAAATAGTAATACCAAATATGGATATTAATAACTGCATTATTTATTTACCAGCAATATTTTCATCATTTTACGCCTAGAAGAGAGTTGAATTCTTCCAACAAGAACTGGAAAGAGAAAAAAAAGGCAGAATTAATTTACCTGGGTCGCCGACTGCGTAGAACATAAATTATAGGAGCGACGTCATATATGGGCCAACAATTGTTGGGCGAATTTGCAAATAAAAATGTGATACCTACTTCCCATGTGCTAATTGTACAATACAATTAATGAGGATACATCTCCACAAGATTATTGGACGTGAATCTGTGACAGGGTTATACATATCAAGACTGAGTGTTTGGTCCATTATGTGAAACATTTTGATCAGGTGAACCAGAAGCTTCCACCAAGTACAATCGGCAGCATGGCTTTCCATCGTCTGGATTGGTTTGTAGCGATCTGGGCAAACTGAGGAGCCTGTTGAAGAGATTTAATGGATCATTTAAGAGACCAAAATGGGCATCTGGGTCTCCAATTTGTGAAAGTTTTACATTAGTGAACCCTAGGGATGGCAATAGATGGTCTGGCCAATCGCTGTAAAATTGGAAGACTGAATTGGATAGAGTGGTTGATGGCTTATTCATGAAGTCTGCTAAAAGGACTGTGTGTGCTAACGCGCATTTGTTAGCCAAAATTCTCAGCACTTGCATGGCTTGGGATTGGGTGAGGTAGTAGATGATACCTTCTAGAATCCAAACAGTGCTCTTTTGAGGTATGTATCCCGCAGTCTCAAGCTTTTCCATCCAGTCATTTTCTCTTATGTCGGCTGCTACTCTGGTTAAGGATTTGGCTTTGGACATAATATGTTGCGAGTCGTACGCTGAGTCCGCAGCCGCTTGTAAAATAGTGGTCTTTACATCCAACACTCCTGAAAAGTCCACCTCATACACATCACTGTCCTTCAAGCAACTCAAACGATATGCTCTCGTGTCCATTCCTACATTAAAACTTCCAACTTTATCAATATATAGTTTTTGTACCAAAAAGTTACGAGTATATATAACTGCTAGGGTAAATATAATGCTATAGGCATGGACAGTTACATCTAATTTCTGAAGAATATGGACAGATGCACTGGATTGTGATGTCATTGATTATGTTTAGCTGATGGCTAGATAGACTGTGGTCCAAAAAAATGTTAGTAATGATATAAGAATTGGTTTGCCAAAATCAAGGAGGTGTCCTTTATATATCTTGTAACGTGATCTTGAGGGCGTTGGTAGTTTCACTCAAACGTTCTTTTAGCCTAATGCTATTATTTTCTGAGAGGCAATAAACTCGCACAGTCACATTTGACCAACATAATTAATTACTTATTCTGAGTTAACCTGCTAGTTAACTGATCAGTTACGGCTACCAATATTAATAAAAAAAAAAAAAAAAGCGATGAAAGCTGTTAAGAAGACAAAATTAAATGAATGGCTGATGTGGACAAACCTGCGCCAAGGAGAACAACCTGAGCTGCTCTGGCAGTTGGGGAATTGAGGGCATCTTCTAGCCTAGAATCAAACCAGAGGGTTCGTACTGCAAGAATGACTCCAGAAATTTCACGAGCATTGTTGAGGCGGTCGTTCTTGATCTTTTCATGGAGGTTTCTCAAGTAAGTCTCCCCTGCCAGTAAATCAGCGAGTGGATCATGGATGGCATGTTTCCACAGAGCCCTTCCCGCAGCAGTTTGGCAAGCTGACCTCTTAAGGAAATCCCATTCTTTTTCAATCGTTGCATGGATTTCTCTTACAGCATCACTGTTGAGCAAGTCTGGAAGCTTCAGCTCTTGCCACGCTTGGTCCTCGGGCAACCCATTCACTTTATCTGACATGGTTCTTGCGTGTTACACAAAAACAAGGGATTAAGAGGAGCTTGTGAAGAAGATAATGCATTTTATTTATATATAGCGAAGTTTAAAGATTTTGGGGGTAGAGATAAGGAAAAGAGAACCACACACAATAAGGGATGCCTCAGCTTCTTGGTTTAGTGAAAGGCAAGGTAAGAATGCAGTCCACGACTACCACAACTGCATAACCCGACCCTTTCTCTCCCTCGCCTGTCATTTTTCAAACGCAAAAGTGACATTCTGTGGTTCCCACTAATTACGACCACTGCCACATGTGCCTGCCTCAACTTGGATAACAACAAAATAACTATTCAACCTATCCATTCATTTATGCTTTAATTATCACCACTTTCATCTTCCATTTATAATTCCTTTTTAAGTAAGACTCCCGGACTAATTTCTTCGTATACTGAAATTTATTTAAGATAATATTTTTATACTCACTTTATATTTACTATTTCACTTTTCAATCACTCTCTTTCTTTTAATAGTGTAAAAACTTCACTTTTTCTAATGACTAAAACATCCTTCAGAATAAATTGTCAACTGATGTAATCAAAAAATATATTTTTTTTCAAACTTAACCGCATGCAAGATACCTATACTACCTAAGACAATGCAAGAGCTGTATTTGTTGAGCCAGAAGGTCACGTCTTCGTGCGTTAATAGGCATTGTCGGCACGACATTTATTTTGTTTGTGACATTTTTTAAGTGAGTTTTATTTTTAAAATGTTTAAATATTTATTTCTTTTTTATAAATAATTAAAACTTAAGCCATACTTATATACAAATATACTGAAAAAATTCGAATCAAAATATATAACTTTATTTATTTTAAATTTATATATTAGGGATCAATTTCTATACCGGCTAAAGCCCAAGGTAGGTGTCATCAAATTCAAGTTTTAGGCATCACGCTAATATTATAATCACATATTAAAAGGTAAAACTTCACTGCATCATAGCAAATTAATATTTATTGGTGTTCAACTGTCTTATATTTATTTAATCTAGGATTTACCTGTTACATTGGTATCACTTATTTTCGATATGAGAAATCCTCGTATTTTTTTTCATTCATAGATTAGTCGTCTGAAATGGTACTCAAGAAGAACTATAGGTTCTAATACCACTTTTGTGAGTCATCCAATAAAAAAATAATATGTTGTATATGAGACAGCAAATCTATTTTTCTGTGAATAACTATAAATTCTTCAATGATACACAATTCCCTGTACATAATAAATTTATTAAATTGTCCTACAAATCTTAAATTAACTTTTCATTTGTATAGTATATTATTATTGTTGTTGTTATTTCATTCTTCGTATTATTTTTGGATGTTAGACTTTACTAAGTATCACTCATATTCTCTTTACCATGAATCTCACATAAAAAATCACTCTTCTAGTGCTCATTATCCGTACATGAATAAGAATGTTGTTATAAAGTATCTCTTTCAAAAATGTTATAAAGTCGTTTGCTTATTTTGGTAAGCTAAGCGCATAAATGCAAAAACCTCCCTACATAGGGAGAAAGAATTATCCAGCTTGAAGTTCTTTATACAGTACAACTTTTGCTATCAGCTAAGTCAACTTGTATTAGTGTTATTAGGTTTGTTGCATCTATTCACTAAGCTACTCTGTGTTATAGAATGAATCAATATATTCACTCATCCAACTCACTATGAGCTTGTTAGGTTAGGGACAAGTTCTTTTGCATCCATTCTCGACTCACGTGGGAATCATAAAACGAATATTCAATATATGCCAATTAAATCACTCCAAAATTATTCCATTTCCATTTTTTATCATTAATACAATTTTATTTCATCTATTAACTGTTATTTTAAACTAAACGAAAGACACAACTATGTGATCTTACCATATACAAATCTTCATCATTTAAAAATTAAGGTTAAATACACTTTAAATATTTTTTTTTCATCATTTAAAACATTTTTTAAAAATAAAACTTCAACTGAATAAAATTAAAAAAAAACATTTTTCTTAAGCTTCAACTAAAGAAAATATTTTTTTATCATGTCCAATAATCGTACTTTATTATATCTGATGTCATTAATGTTAAAACTAAACCGTACCGTCCTCTCTATGGTCGTACGGTCCTTCCACATGGTCGTCTTTTTGTACGGTCCTCCCATACCAACCTCTCTGGATGTCCTCCCATGGTTGTTCACCTAGGCTGCACCAACTAGTAATGACTCATTAAGTCCCTAATGTAGATTAAGATGTGATTGAGCCATCATTAGGTCAGCGAAAGGTAAAGGTCCATCATCAATTAGTATAAATAAAGGTCTCAGGTATGACTTTAGAGGGACGATGCACATCATATACATTACTTGCTAACTGTCCGGTTATATTACTAACTTGAGCGTTGACAGGTATCCTTTCACACAATTTAGACAAAGAGGAGGAAGAGCGAATAAATAACTAGGACGATAAAGGATCACTAAGGAGCCTGTTTGATTTTCAAGACAACTTGGAGTGGTTTGATTAAGAGGCTTCTCCCGAAACAAAAACTATTTTCAGAATTAGTTTAGACATGTTCCTAAAATTAATTCCTGAATCTATGTACACAAGTTGGAAATTTTTAATTTGGCTAAAAGGAAAAATGAATGCACAAAACTGATGGGCAAAACCGTCCTTCCATCTCATTCAAATATTTTAATGTAAGAACTAAGACGCAGAAGCCAAGAAATGCGTATCCAAGAGAACCATTTTGCAGGAATATTATCCAGGTTACAGTATAAAAATAACTGTAAAATCTTCCTAACTGATAAAAAATATTAATATTTTATTGACTTCTAATTTTCTTCTTTTGCTTAATCACAGACTCGCGTCTCAATTATTAAAAAGATCAAACTATGTGCCCACTGTTTGTATTTATTTTCCATTTTAGTATTCTAGGAAGTAATTAAATGTCGTAATTCTTACATAATTTTCTGTAATAATTAACACC